CCTGCTAGTCCTTTCAGGTTGCAGCAGCAACTGATTCAGAGGACATTTCCAACAGTCTCAGTTTGGTACCACACAGATAAGTTCAGTGGTCTGGATTCCAAAGCGTAACATCGCCAGATTTTCTGTATAATCAGATTATTTGTGCTGGTTCAGTTTTACAAGCCTTCTGAACTGTCCTTCTTCTTGCCTTTTCGTTGAGAGACTTACAAGACGTTCTGTCCTTGCTTTGTCAAGCCTGGTGGAAGGCAGAAAAGTATTAGCTGCAGACCAGATGACTGGACTATATTGAGTATATGGTTGTGGCATGCGCTTGAAAATCCAACTGTTTAGCGGACGACCAAAGCCATTGAAGAAATTTCCTGAAACTGCTAACCTGCAGCCCGAAAAGAGTCCCGGACTTCGATAGCGAATGAAATATGGTTTATTTTTACCTCATTTGATTAATTGCCAAAAGGTTATAAGCGACAATTGCTCAACGAACTTCATTACCGTTGCTTTATTTGAATTGCTCTCTTAAGTACCATCGTATTCTTCCGGCCACATGTGTTTCCTATTCCAAAGTTGTGCAGTCTCACAGTTGCAGGCCCTTAAGGGGTCTCAGAAAACTTAAGGCTGTTTTTTTCCCGCTTGACGCAGCATAAAATATTCGAATACGATATTTCATTGGACTGCAGCTGCGGTTTTTAAGCTGACTGCAAATCCTCCCCATCTCGCTGTACTCATTTTTGGTTTTACGTTAAAATGAACACTTCTCTTTTGTTAAATAAAGCCCTTACTGTAAATATTTTGGTTCTACGTAAGTTCGCTCGTGTCTAAACATCAATATGCGTAACCATTTTTGTTTACAGCCAGTAAGTTATCCAAAAGCTGCCCATTCCTCTGCAGGCGGTTATTCAAGCAGTACATCTCTACTTTCCGAATCGTCATGACTCTTTACGACGTAAAGAATGTTCGCAATTCGTTTTGCAACAAATCAATTCCGCAGAAAATTTGCAGTTGCATTAAAAACATTTTAGTATCTACTTTTTAACACAGACGGTTGTTTTTTCTGGTGGGGTCCCATCAAAAACACCTCTTTGGCAGTGGTTCTAGTTCCGTATAAATGTCCGACCAAATGCAAGCTTCTCGATCAGGAGAGATTTGAGCGCTTCAGGTTGTGGAGGTAGTATGCAGTGTACAGAATTACGCAATTACTTACTCCACCTAAGATATATCTGTGGAAGTTCTCATGGCATTTACTGATTTCCTGAAGACTTTCTCTCAGTCTGTAGAACATCGGACTCGTAACCGAGAGGCCATGAGTGCAAGTTCTGATGCGGTCACTTGTGTTTCTTTCGAGCTTGATTAATCATTGTCGCTCTGTGGCAAGAAAACAGGAGTCTACAAGCTATGCTTGCCACATACCTGCTGTAGAATTTGCCTTTAAAAATGTCACTGCTGGTTGATAACATGGAAATGCAGGTCAGCGCCCCGCCATTAGCTTAAAAGAAAGAAGGTAGACCCAAATGATCCCTAATCATGAAA